ATTAGGTTACAAAGTGAAGCTCTCTAAAGAAGTCAGGAGATGCCGAACTTCAAGGTATCTTTGCAATAAAATAGTGAGCAAACTCCTGTCAGAGCTGTGTTTGTTCACGGTCACTGTTTCCTCACTGTGCTCATACCACACTGCTGCTGTAAGATAGCACATGTCTGAAACTCCTATGGATATTCACTTCTGAGAGAGAGAAGAAAAAAAAAAAACCACACACTCTTATTTCTCTATCATCATCATTTTAATTCAGTGACAGAGAAAAAAAAAAAAAAAAAGAATGTGGATGTACTTATCTTTGAGTTTTATGGAACTGCGTCATACTGTTATACTAATATAGTTCAAGCTAAGTTGCATGCATGTATTGAGTGTACGTGCACGTGTAACTTTCTCTTCAAATCCTTTTAAGTTATCATTAGCTGTTAAATGGCTTTAAGTGTGAATATAAGAATAGGCTGGAGATAGGAAAAGAAAAACCTAATTTCCAGCACTTCAGAATAGAAGTAGAAAATGAAGTCATCACTACTGTTTTTCTTCTTGTCTCTGTCAATGAGATTAATCTATGTTCTTTGTCATGTTTTGTCTTTGTTCCATCATGTTCATTTTTTCCTTGTTTGTTTCATAGCAGTGCGTGCTAATAATGCTCTTTCCTGGGAGACATCTCAATCTATTAGTTTGAACATTAAACATCCCCTTTAACTATTTGGCATTAAAAACAGTTCTAAGTAAAGATATGTGTGAATAAAACGTTCCCCTTCCTTTGGTAACATGGATAAAAATGTCTGCAGTACAGTTAATCTCTTCAAGTTAAATTGATCCATTTTGTATTAAGCATTGTATTCCTTTGGAAACATACTAACAAGTTTTTTTGAGCCAACATTTTCTTTGCAAATGTCAACAAATGAGTTATATGGGCAAAGACCGAGTCAAGATTTCTGATGGTCAGAGGGGGAGAATTCTGTGAGTTGGCTAAGTTGTTGTTGTTGTTGAAATGAAAAAGCAACAAGAAAACGTAGAATGTTCACAGTGTGCCATATTGTTTGGTGAAATTCTAGGCTGTTTTAGAAGACAGTGGGTTGTTGACTTTGAAATACAAGATGACTGTGTACATGGACATGCAGGCATACATAATGTGCTGTAAGATAGAAAACAGTTCTGCTGGGTTAGCTTGATCTGAAAAGCTTTAGGAACTTTTAGGCTTATAAAGCCTTTGACATACTTTTTTAGATGAAAAACTTTTATGTGTAGGCTTTATATAAAAATAGTATGATTTGTTTGATTCTGGGTGCAATGCTAAATTTACTGGTATATATTAGCTAATTATTTTAACCAAATGAAATTTCAAAACCATTCCTTATATGCAGTTTAGGTTCACAACTGCTAAAATTTAAGTTCTGTCACTGTGTGAAGAACATAGAAAAGCATCTGTTAGGTATCTACCATGCTGCCAATACACTGTTTCCCAGTTGTTTAGGGGCTAGATTTTATAATATTGGCATGATTTTATTCTTTTATTTTATCCAGTGCTCTTTTGTCAAGGAATAGGTCTGCTCAAAGTTTAATTTACATATGTGAAATTATATATAGAAGAAAAATGACATTAAAAAAAAAGAGATAATATTATTTTTTTTTCCTGTATTAACTCATGTTGAGCGCTACTGAAGTTTTAGGCAATACATTTCTGAAAAAGTAGGCAAACCATATTTGAACAGCCCATACATAACTGCCTGTTTCTGCTTCTAACTGTGTGGTGAAACCCTGATAGTTTAAATAAAAAGTGATTTTTTAAAAATATTTTGTGTATATATAAACTGCAAAAAAAAAAAAAAAAAAAAAAAAAAATCAAAGGTCAGCAAAGCTCCACTGCTATAAATTATTTCAATCTGAACAAAGATTCCTCACAAAACTTTCAGCTTCTAAGCAACCACCAATAAAAATATATTCTCTAAGTGTAAATTTAGTCCTTTAAAGCCTTACTCATGTAGGCAGCTCTATCAAAGCTAAAGAAAACATTCCGATGACTCAGGTTGTACAGGGCCTGGACTGATGAAGTTAGCTTTCTGTGATGCTCAAACGAATAAATACAGATTGTATGGTGAAAAAATACACTGTAAAATGAGAGGCAGCTTCTTAATGATCTGGAATCTTTGATGTAAAATGACGTTGATGATCAGCATTTGATCCATCAGCATTGTGACTGATATAGTGGAGAGTTGTGTGGAATCCACACAATGCCAGGAATGAACTGGAAAGATAATGAAAGAGACTGATGGTGGATAAGTGGCTAGCCTACTTTGACTATATAAGACTATATGTCTATTTTCCTCTCTGTGGGCCTGTATCTCAGCTGTGGAGAAACTGGTTCAGTGGCTTGAAGAAAAAGAAACTGGCTCCTCCACCTGTAAAAACCAGTATTTCATCCATTAGAGGTGTGTGTTCCTCTGCTCAAGAGAGGATACAGTGAGTACACACCATGTATCACACTGTGGTTTTACCTGCATGACCATGGAGAGGTTATGAGGAACTGGGATGGAGAACTCACCTTGGCCCCACAGGCATTCTAAAACCAGAGGCCACTTCTTAGTGATCCAGAATCCATGCTAAAAAATGAGGCTGATGATCAGCAGGCTCAGCAACTAAAAATACCCACTGTATTTATGTAACAGTGTAATGTATTTTAGATTCATAATAACATGAGGCAGCAACTAATAAGCACATTGACTGGTGTACTTGAAACCTAAGATGATGTTATAACTTAGTTGCAATTTCAGATTATATGTTACAAAGTACTTCTCCAGTGGTAGACAGCTGCAGCTGCGAGTTTTCCTTCTGAAAATGAGGTGCTGGTGGTAGAAATTACAGAACACAACTACGATCTCCAAACAAACTAACAAACAAACAAACAGAGAAATTTGCCCGTTGTCATTTAGGAAGTTGGCAGCAGAGTTAGCACGTTCGAGACGTAAGTTTTCAAAGTCTAGGGTCACAACAAGGCAGTAATCTGCCTCCTCTGCTGTACAGTTTGTATTTTTCCCTTCCTGTACAGTAGAAGAGGCTAGTAGCACCCCTTGTTTGTTACACACCATAGGATCTGAATATGTTATTTTATCCATAACAGATAATAATCTAGGCCATGTCTATACAAGAAAATGTTTAACTGGTTTTAAAAAGAATGATTATAAGCCAGGTGCACTTAAAACAGTTTGCCACCTCCTTAAATTGTTTTTGTAATTTACAAAATTCAGCTAAACTGATTGAAAAGATGATAAAGTCAATTTAAGTCACCTAGTTTAGGGAGCGGGACCTGCAACTTCTCCCTGTAGACAAGGTCTTGCCTAGTAAGTAGGAGGATCAATGGCAGGTTAATGCAATTGGCAATGTAAGAAGGTGGAAAAAACAGACTTATTATTTGTCTGTGCTATGCAGTAAACTACTCAGGCAGGGTTTTTTTCTTCAGAGATCTCTCTACAGTGACAGCTAGCACTCTACTAAAATTAATACTAATAATATGGATAATGATGTGCTAAATTGTTTTCAGTATAGTTATTCCAATTTTACAGGAGTGTGGTATTGAACTGAATTTACTCCATTAAGACAAATACAGCTGCCTATAGCAGGAGGCCACTTTGAGTTGAGTTATGTGGGATTCTGATGGGAATCACATGCTTGTAACTAAAGAAGAGATAAAAAGAGGTAGATAGAGAAGAAGAGTAGACTGTATTGCTTTGTTTAAATTTACAGTTCACATAGCACTTGTTTTCCTTGGCATGTGTTATTTGCTACATGATCTAATAAATAAACACAGGCATTGATTGTTTGAAGCATGCTGAGTGATGACCTGAACTAGTAAGTATGCCTTGATGGAAAACTCTTACATAGAGAAACAGAACTTTTATTCATCAGTGTACTATCTGATTATTTGCTGTGGATGAAGGGTTTGATTCTTCCGTTTCTTGGACTATTTAAGGAAAATTAGATTTATACAAAGTAATGGAATGGTTTGTTCACTGATTGTGTTTTGATTTTCTGCATGTTGGCCCATTTCTCATTTTAATGTATGCATTAAAATAACAGAGTGTGCAATGTCTTTTTCTTTCTTTCTTTCTTTTCTTTTTTTCTTTTTTTCTTTTTTTCCCCTGGGGTCTTTGCTCATTGTTTTCTGTCCAATGGTCAGTGCAAAGGGGGAAATGGCTTTAGGAAAAGGGTGATGCCACAGTTGTAGCAGGAATGTATTCTGTTGATATGATGAGGCAGAGCAGCAAGTACAGTATTAGTTTCTGCTGTGTTGGTGAATAAACCGTAGAAAGTGGTTTGCAGTGTAGAATACATATCCTCCTGCAACTTATTTCCCCTCTCAGCATGCTTCTACTTTTCAGCAAGAGTGAGTTATACTCTATTAGCAATAAAGAGCCAGATTTTTAAAGGTGCTTAGGCAGCTAAAGAGGTAGGTAGGTGACTAATAGGATTTGGGAGCCAAGCTTGAGAAAACTAAGTGTCTTCAGAAGTCTAAGAATTCTTACAGAAAGCCTTGGATTTCCCCATTCTACCCAATCAACCGCAGCCTGCCATCGTTTCTCTATTTTATTGAGCAAACTCTCATGCCTTGGGAGAACCTCTTTGATGCGTATTCCTGGTAATTCCAGAGGCAGTTCTGTTCTCCACGCAAATTTCCCTGTGTTCTGTGGGCATAAAGACAGCACCGTGGACGTGTCTGCATGCACATGCTTTACCAGCAGCACACATCTCTTCCAAGGCGAGTTCGTGCTCCAAATTAACGCGTTGCTCTGCATGCGGAAAGCAAGTCCAGGTCGTCAAAGGGAAGGGAATCCAAAGCGTCGCTGCAGACGGTAGCTCTTTACAGAGACGGTGCTCAGGGCAAGGCGGAGGGGCCTCAGGTGGCGGCGGGAGCCGGCTCGGCCACCGCCCCCTCCCGCGGCCCGGTCGCGCTTCCGCCCGCGTCAGCTGACTGCCGCGAGGAAGCGGCGGCGAGAAGCCCCGACCCGCCGCCGTCTGCGGAGCACCGTCCCGACCCCCCTCCGCCATGGCAGGGCTAGTAGTGAGCGGAGCCCAAGTAAGTGTCCGCGTCCCGCCGCGCACCGCACCACCTGCAGCCGGCGCTTCTCCGCCCCGCCCCTCCATCTCTGCGGGGGGTCGGCTGCTGCCGCTGGGAGCCCCGCGGAGGCATCGCCGCCTCCCGTCCGCCCGTGCGGAAGTTCGGAGCGCCGAGCGCTGCGCGTGGAGCCCGGCGCGATCGTGCTGCTGCCCCTCGGACCGGCACAGGGCGCTGTGTGCCTCCGCACCGGGCGCTTGGGTGCAGGGGGTTCTCGTTCTGTCCCTGTTGCAGCTCCTGCAGGCCCGCCAGGTGCAAAGAGCTCGTTCCTGAGGCTTTGCTGGGGAGCACCTCTGTTTGCATAGCGATCTCCAGTCCGAGTTCTGCATCTGGCGGTCGGGCCGGGCGTGGGGTCTGCTGGCCTAGCGGTGACCCAAAAGCACCCCGGTTGCTCCAGCGCTCAGCCAGCCTGTGGACCCTGTGGGTTGTGGAAAGAAAGGAATGAAGCTTTGGTTCTTGCAGAAAATGGTATGCCATTGACTGGAGTGCTGCCCCTCGGGTTGTTCCTTTACTCTGGTTTCTGTTTCGGTGTGGAATTCCTGTAAGCATACATGTGATAGGGAGGCAAGTGGCTAATTGCGCAGCTGCCGCAGGAAATGGTTCCTGTGGTCTCTGCAGTGCACTGTGGCCCTGAGGAGCGTTGTGTGTTCCCTTGGGCCTGGAGCAAATCCCTCCAAGTGAAACGTAGCTTTCATTTGGCTTTGTGCCTAACATCATCCCACCTGCTAGCAGGTTATGGTGTTGTACCGTGCCCATCTGACTGGAAATGTTCTTCAGATGTAATGCCCTTCAGTGGAAGGTGATATGTTTTTGAAAAGAATCCAAAAGAGAGCCACAAATATGGTCAGAGGGCTGGAGCACCTCAGCTGTGAAGACAGTCTGAGGGAGCTGGGCTTCCTCTTAGCCTCTGAATGTAAAGCCAAAATGAGGTGTGACTACTATTGACTGATGTTAATTTGTTATGTTTTAAATATTTTGTAAAAGTGTGTTTTTTTCCTGAATTGTGTACAGTGTATTGAAGAGTCTGCAAGAAGTTCTGAGCTGCCCACAGCCAATCTGATGCTGGGATCCGAGCATTTCTTTGGGATCCTGAGCTGGGTACCAGTAATAAAGAGTGTTTGATGATGACCACCTGCATTCAGTTTCAGGTGGAGAATTAGGGAATAGAGACATCTATATCTAGTTCTCATCCCATGGGGTGTTCTGTGCTGGGTATAGAGAATCAGAGAAACCAGCTGTTGCTAGTGTGCCCTGTACCAAAGGAGTCGAATGTCTTGGGAAAGGTGTATTTGCTCTCATCTCTCAGTGATGACATTTCTAGATATGCACTTGAAAGCTCATATTTTTTTTTAAGGATATTTGAGATGGATGCAAAAGGAAGAATACCGGATTGTATATATTTGATTGTTTTCCTGAGCAAACTATTTTGAACTGAATGGCTAAAAATGAAGAAACATTGTTTTTTGCTTGTCCAGACTATTGAAGACTTGCTTCATATCAGCACTGTTCGAGCAGCAGAAGAGTGAACAAATAATGCTCTCCAAAACTTATTGAAGAAGTCTTATTGTGTATTGCATAGCTGGTGATCTGACAGCTGCTGCTGTCGTTACAGTCAAGAGGGCTCTTGAGTATCCAAGCAAGTTTATATAAAAGGGGTAGAGATCTGAAGTGAGTGTACTTTGTAGGAAAATAAATCTGTTGGCTTTAATTCAAAAAGGTGCTTGTAACAGTGAATGAGCTGAAGTGGACTTTGTGAAATACCTTTCACAAGGCCTCAGTATAATAACTGTATGCCATCTACAAATACAACTGTGTCTAATCTGTTTGTACCGCTTGTGCAAGTGTATTTGTACAGTACAGCAGTTCAAAGGCTGAAGCTTTACAACATGTTATGTATTTTGCCTCTTGCATACTTCAAAAACTGTTTAAATGAACTTTTTTTCTTCAACTCCTGTTCTTGTGGAACTAGAACAGCTGAGGGTAGGTAAGTTTCTGGAGCAGTGGGAATGCAGGTTGGAATTGCTTGCTCTATCTCCACCCCTGTGGGGGGGAGATGGTGGTTGGTGCTCTTGCTATGGCTGTACTTGCACAAGATTGTCTTACACTCCTAATGTTCGTGGACATCAAATTTTAGTTGCATCCATTACATGTTACACTGATTTACTGCTTCGTCCAAAATATTCTGCTGCTAAAATGGTGTCTCTCCAAGGGTTTGCAAGCATCTATTTATTGTAATCTATCTTTCTGTGAAAAATGAAGTGATTCTTGTTTGTGTACTTCATGTATACTGTAAAATGTGTTGTGGTTTTCTCGGATGAAAACTGAAGGGAAAATAAATAAATATACATACATGTTTAATTCAATGGAATGTGGAAAATCGTGTCTGTTATGTCCAAACTATTAGGATGTAAACTAGCCAAAACTTTTCCTGGGCCCTCTGCAGTGAGGTTTGTTTGCTTAAGGTATGGAACAAAGTAAATTAAATTGAATGTGATACTATATGATCAGATTGCAGACATTGTTAGTGTGTAAGAAATGGGGATGATTTGCACAAGTACATGCCATCAGTCTGATCTGCACTGGAGTCTCTATTTACCAAAAAGTGAAGTTCTATTAAAGCAAAATTAGACCTTTTTGCATATTTTTCATCTAACATCCTGTAGGCCAGTGGGACATGATCTTGAAATTGTATCAGATATCTAGATAACAGCTTATCTTATAGAGAGTGATCTAACACAGTGATGAAATCCACTTAAATAGCAAGTTGCCATTTAAAGGCAACTAACATTTATTTAGCAAAATATTTGAAATGTCAATTTTGGATGAGTCAATACAGACATGAAGAGTTCATGACAATATGTTTGGCAGACTTTGTGGGGATTCTCTGAAGAAATCAAAGCAGACCTCCAAGACAACAGAGCTGACAGAATACATGAAGTGTAGTCATTTTACTGTTGGTGCTTTTCTGGAAATATCATCACTTAATTCATCATGGCTAAAGAGAAATAAAAATAGACTATTTTTACTGCCATTAATTCTTCCTTTGTTTGTTGAAGGTGGTTTAGATAGGTAGGTATTGAAAGAAAGAAAAGCATACATAAGTATTTAGGGTACAAAGGGGAATGAAACAGCAGTTGTGTTGAAGCCAAACCTCCTTAAGACTTAAATCACTGCGTAAACAAACCTGTGTTTTTGGTTTCTCTTATCTTGAGTGACCTTCTTGCTCTGTCTCTAGCATATCACTGGAAATAATAATCTCCCCAAAGAAGGGGTATGAGAATGGTTTGACTTTGTACTGACTTTGTTTTGTCCAAAGATTTTGTAATGCTTCTGCACTGAATGATTTCTGCACTGAAAAGCAAACTAGAAAGTCCTTTGAAAGACTTCCAATCCTACAAAATATTTTCCTTTGGAGTATTCAGAAGGGTAATCTGAAGTAATGCTAAATTCAAGTATTAACAGTGGAACAGAATATAATATACTACTAAAAGAAATAAATGCAATGTGTTTGATCAAATTATTGTTACCTGAAATGAGAAAAATATGCTACATTGTAAATAGGACCAAGCATGTGTTAAGAATTAAGCTGATTGCATTGATAGAAAAATGAGATTGTGATAGATTCTGCAGCAGTAAAAACTGATGTAGCTTGAAGTTGTAATGAATGTTCATTATACCGTATGTTGTCATTGGATCAATGAGACAGAATCTGGACAGGAAACTGTAAATAATCTACTTATGACATGCTTCCTTTTTGCTTTCAATTCTCAGGTGTCCTACATTAGTCAAGACTGTGAAGAAATTCCTGAATTCCTGGGAAGAAAATATGGACATATAGCAAAAAGACTAGATCTTAGCTTCAACTTGTTAAGGTATGCCATAGCGTTTAGGTTTTTCAAGTGCACTATGGGACAACCCACTCCAATCCCAGAATGTTTTTTTTTTTTTCCTCTAAATAGAAACATACATATATGTGAGTTACATTCAGTTATTATTGTATGAGAGATACTGTTTTATCCATGTTTGTCTTCTCTCCTTGCACTTTTGGAACACAAGCAACCAGGTGAGTCTGTAAATATCTGGTGTAAATGTAAAAGGTGCTTAGTGTGATTAATTCTCTTCAAAATGGAAAATAAGTAATATTACCTGAAGAAGCGAAGAATGGGATGAAATGTGAATTATTCTTAACCTAAAAACAAGTAAGTGTGTACTACTCTGTTTCCTTTTTTATTTGTGAATCTCGTGTTATTGTAAATGATTTGTAATGCTCTTTTCCTAGGCTGCGTGTAAGATCAATAAGCATACAGATATCAGGCTTGTAAGATTATCACGTTAAAAAAGATAATCAGAGATAAATGGAAAGCGCTCACTGATGTTGTAAGCTCACAAGAAAATCTATGAGGAAAGATCTCCAGAGAGACATCCTTCCTAGTGGAAGTCAGCCCTTAAATGGGGTCTAGGAGAGGTGGAGGCAGGCTCCACCCCTTTCAATCACATAGATGAATTGCCTTCACTTGTGCTCCCGCAGCTGACTCAGTGCTTGCCTCAGGTGGTCAATCAGAGGTTCAGGCTGTGATCCAACAGTTCCCCTACACTGTGTATGATTTTATTTTGTGGAGTTATATAGATAAGCGTTAAAGCTAAATGCAGTTAGAATTTATAAATAAATTCTAAATTATTTTAACATACGGATTGATTAATAATTTTATAGTATTCCTATTAATCATTAAGGAAATACTAAACAATTCCCATTTTCATTTAATCGTGTGAAAAGCCTGGTGGGGTTCAGTATTGTATCTTTCAGGTTTGGAACTCTGTAGGTATGTAGGGAAAAAAAAGTGGCACATAGTTATCTATTTAAGAAAGTAAAGTTTTTTAGTGATAGAACTGAACATTCTTTTTCCTTATGTTTCACTGGAAGGTAAGCTTAGAGTCTACCTATGAGGAGTGAGTCATGTAGAAGTCACATGTTAGTTCTCCTAGGGAGAGCAGTCATGGGTTTTATCTTATGTAACGCTAATAAATGTTATCTTGAGCTGCCATAAACTGAAAGACTGATTCCTGTATGCAAGAGGTAGCAGAGCAAAGGAGACACTTAATCTGTGGATTGCCATTATCTTAAACTTACCATATATCTGACTTGTGACTGTATACCTATGGAAACTAATCAGAAGAGAGATTATTGTATTCCTAGGGGAAGAAACTTTAAACTTGAAATATATCTTTAAAAAGTAGTTTGGCTATCTACAACAAATTTCTGTCAGCATATGCGTAAGTTGAATGAAGAGGACCGAGGCTTTTCATTCCTGCCATGGATAAAAATGTGATTTGCTAGCATTAATAATATGCTAATATAAGGCACTTAGCTAGTCATCCTTTAAATAGGCACATAGTGTACAGTAGCTTTTCATGTCTACCACTGGATTGCTATGGTATGGGAAGAAAGTGTATGATGATGACTGAACTGCCAGATTGTTAGGATATACTAGGTGGGAAATTGAAGCAGTTCTAAAAATTAGTGTATCAGTTCTATTGTTTGGACACAGCAAGTAAAAGCTAGGAAGAAGAAAGGAAATTGATTTGTTACTTGAGATACTTGTGATAGTATTTTAATCTTTGACTAAGCTATTTTCAATGAACTTTGCTGGATGTAACTTAATTTGAATCAGACCTGTAAGATCAGATGATCTGTAAGACATAAATATCTTCAATTCCAGCTGAAGTCAGTGGTATTCTATAGGGTCTTCCTGTGTTTGATACTTATCTTTTTGACTTGGATACTCCAATGTAGTGGAAATACTGAGTCATGGCCTGAAGCAGTGATTGAGCACCTGGTGGGAAGGCAGGGCCAACCCAGGGGAGCTCAGGTGCATGCAATGTTCCTGAGTGACTGGAAGGAGTAAAGCCAGGATCCATCCCTTTCAGACCTCATTTCAGGGTTGGCCATGGAAGTAAGGGTATCTTGCTGGAGATCCCTGTCTACTTAAGGCTCATTAAAGGTAAGCACTTTTTTCCTTTATTTCTGTGGCTGTTGTGTTGAGCAAGTCCTCACTTGCTACAGCCTTGGATTTTGCTGTTTCACTGTTATTGCTGTGCTTTCCATTACATTCTCTAACAAATGTAATTGTTATGTTCTCTAACAAAAAGAGAAATATACAGTGCTGCACTTGTTAAAATCAGCATTGATCAACAGGATGCATGTGCTCAGTCTCTTGAGGCTCTTTCTGATGGTACATGACCCTGAGGAGTGTCTCTTATAAAACTGTGACTGCTTAGTGTTCTTTGAATTTGGACTGCAATATCTAGCTAGCAAACAAGGGGATTTATAGGTTGTTTGGGTATAGACACCAAATTCAATTCATGATTCTGCTCTACTGTTCTTGGAGAAGTAAATTAATCTGAACTGGGTAATTATAGATTGACTGAACGGAGAAGTTAGTAGTAAATAAATTAGTTTTCATTATATGATTCATACTAAATCAGCATATGTGTGTGTTCCTTGAAAGAAAACAAGTATAGCGGTCACTAATTTTCTACAAGTAGTATCTAAGTCATAGAAATGCAGAAGAGTTTATTGCTTGTTCTCAATGTCAGGTAGGAAATAAGTACTTACCAACTTCTTCTGTGTTTTTTTTTTTCATGTAGGATTTTTCCTATTCTCCTTAAGCAAGGGTACTACTGTATTTTAAAAGGAACCACCCTCGTGTACTAACTAGGCAATATACTGTGCTCCATAAGTATTAGTAGAAATTCTGAAAGCTTAACAAATTAATAATTGAGCATAGGAGGAAGCTTTTTTCATTTTGTGGGCACCAGTCACTTAATGTTGCTGTTATAAGTGTTGTTGCATGCAGAGTGAGAGAGAGAGAGATCCTGTGTTATAACGTGTTCACTTTCTGATCAGTTGGCAGCAGACAGTTCTTTCAAGGTGATGCTGTCCTTCCAAATCCAGAAATCCTGTGTGGTTGTTGGCTTCCAATCTTTATTGTACAGTGTACACTTAAAAGATTCTTCTCAGAAAGACAGATTTCTGCTCCACGATACATGTGCCAGAATTCTTCCTTACGCAAGAAATATGCGTAATATTAGACTTGATTAAAAAATTACTGTAGTGAATTTCACTGATGTTTACACCATGGTAATGCAGATTACTTGGTTGCAAAGGTTAGGATAGCACTAAGTAAGTAATTTTGCCATTTAAGGCTTTTCACAAAAAATGTGTGTTTTCAGAGGCTTCTCCAGGTATGCTGGTAGAAGGGTGGGAAGATCTGCTGGCACCATGTAGTAAAATGGGCAAGAATTACTCAATCACACCATTTTATGACTTGTTTTATGCTCAAAGAACTTTTGCTGAATTTGTTTCCTAATTTCGTATTTCAGTAGATAATGTTGTGTATTTCTGGAAAATATTTTCTTGCTGTTATAACAAAGCAAGGAATTTATTCTTTACTACCATGCAACTTTTTAAAGTTGTTGAGCTAATACGTATTTAGATAATGATTTTTAAGAATTTAGGGATATTGTCTAATTTGTTATTGGTTGTGATGCTCTTCTGGCTCTAGTCTTTGCTTCTGTGATTTAAGAGTAATTATATGGATTCAGTGTTCTCATTTTTGGTGGTTTTCTTACTCGGATTTCTCCTGTCTTGCTTTTATTAAATAAAAACTTGGGCCAATACAAGCACTTCATTCTTTGCATCAGATGTTATAAGTCTAACAATGTTAGATAAATACAAACAGTTGCTCTTTAAAAGAGCTCTCACTTTTTATTTTGCCTTTTTCTAAGAACTGCTCTCTATCCTACATTACCCAGTGTGTTGTGGTGATCCAACTCTTTTGGCAGCTGTATGGGAACTGCTGAATCATGGCCTGAATTTCTGATTGATCACCTGGGGTGAGCAATGAGTCAGCTATGGGAGCACAGGTGAAGGCAATTCACCTGTGCTGCTGGAAGTGGTGGAGCCTGGCTCCACCTTTGCTAGACCCATTTAAGAGCTGCCTACCAGTGGGAAAGGATCTCTTCTGGAGATCGCTCCTCTGGAGTTTTGCAGTGAGCCCAGGATGTGGGTAAGCATTCTATCTATTCTCCTTTTGTTACTGTAGCCTGCTTAGCCAAACTCTCGCTTATTTCATAATTATAACATCTTTATATTTGTTGATTATGCAGCAGCCAAAGCAAAGTGACCACTGTCTCTCTTGTCCAGGAGAGGGGAGGAAAATAGGAGAGGTGAAAGGCAGAAAGGGTGGGAAAGAGGAAGAGTAGCAGCAATTTGTATCAAACAAAGGGAAAATGTGGTGTGTATTTGAAGGCATGGTGGTTGTAACTGACAAGATACAGTACAGTCCTATTCTGTCTCCTGTTTTTACCAGTGGTAGACTAAATTCCTTCAACTCCAGATCACTGTAGTCTTCTTGCCAATTATTTCTTCTCATGCTGTTTTCTTTACAAGTTTTGTTTAAACAGTTTCTAATGTGTTTTGTTGGACTACGACTGGGAGGGTTGTGAAGAAGATGAAGCTGAACTTTTGTCAGAAATGTACACCAAAAGGACTAGAGTTAGTCATTGCAGGCTGCAGCAAGGGAACTTCCAACTGTATGTAAGGAAAAACTTCACAGTGAGAAAGATTGTGTGGAAGAGGTATTCAGATAGGCTATGGAATCTTCATCCTGGGTGCTATTCAAAGTGCAACTGAACAGAGTTCCAGTCAACCTGATCTAGTCTAAAGTTGCCCTGATTTGAGCAGTGGATTAGATGGCCTCTATATGCCCCTTCCAACCTAAATTAGACTGTGATTCTGCAGCTCTGTTGGTGTGGTTATCAGTAGTAAAATGGCCAGAATTAAAGCAGTTGTTTGGAGTTGTTAGTGATTTTC